TGATCCATATGCAGTAATTATTGGTGTGTTGGGCAGAACAACAAACCAATTAAACAAATTGGCAGGAACTAAATATTTTGGCTATGTTGAGTGCAGATTTACAAACAAGAAAACATGTTGGCTACGTGCCTTTCCTTGCTAGATTCCTGTCTGGAACATTAATTTTCAGACGATACCCGTTAAAACGGAATTCTTTGTTCTTCACATTGGTTTATTCTTTAATGGGGCTGAAGATGACCACAAAACAAGGACCAACTTTTTAAAAGAGGGGGCGGGAACTGTCCCAAGTTTTGTTTCAGCTCTGTTTTTTATCAACTCTGGGTTTTGCAAACCATAGCATCATACAGCTGGAAGGGACCTTGGAGGTCTTCTATCTAGACCAAACCCCTGTCCAAGGCAGGAGACCTTATTCCGGGTGTCTACAAATTTGGCAACTTTAAGACTTAAGGACTTCAACTCCCAGAATTCCCCAGCCAGCATGAGGAATTCTGGGAGTTGAAGTCCACAAGTCTTGAAGTTGCCACGTTTGGAGAACCCTGCCTTTGACCATCCCAAATGGTGGCGCATTTTTTTCCCCTTGAAAATCTCTAGCGATGGAGCACCTACAAGCTATGCCAATGATTAATTGTTCTCATTGTCCAGAAATTCCTCCTTATTTCCAGGTTAGATCTTCCTTTGACAAGCTTCCATCCACTGCATCCTGTCCTGCCCTCTGGTGCAATGGAGAATAAGGCAATCTCTTCTTCTCTGTCAAAGCCCCTCAAGTACTGGAGACAGTTATCATGTCTCCCCTAATTCAGAGGCCCTCAACCTTTTGAGCACCAGGGACCAGTTCCGTGGAGAGAGGTTTTTTCCGTGGACCGGAGGGTGCGTGGTTTCGTGTGCTGCCTGCATCCTGCAGATGGGGCTTCACTTGTTTGCGTGGACCGGTTGCTGGCATGCCGTGGCCTGGTGCCGGTCCACAGACCGGGGGTTAGGGACCCCTGCCCTAATTCATCTCTTTGTTAGGCTAAACATGCCTAGATCCCTTGGCCCTTCACCTTCCGATTTAGCCTCCACGCCTCTTACCTTCTTCCTTGCTCTTCCCTGCACCCTTTCTAGGGTCTCCGCATCTTTTTTGCATCGTGGCGTCCAAAGCTGGACCCAGTATTCCAAGTGTGGCCTCACCAGCTGCAGTAGAAAGCGGTACAGGCAGTCCTCGACTTACAACAGTTGATTTAGTGACCACTCGAAGTTACGACGGCACTGGAAAAAGTGACTTAGGACCGTTTTTCACACTTGCGACCCTTGCAGCATCCTCAAGGTCATGTGATCAAAATTCAGACGCTGGGCAACTGACTCATATTTATGACCGTTGCAGTGTCCCAGGGTCCTGGTACATCCCTTTGGTGACAAGCAAAGTCGAACAGGGAAGCTGGACTGGACTGGACTGGACTAGACTAGACTAGACTAGACTAGACTAGACTAGAATAGAATAGAATAGAATAGAATAGAATAGAATAGAATAGAATAGAATATGGAATGGAATAGGAATAGGAATAGGAATAGGAATAGGAATAGGAATAGGAATAGAATAGAATAGAATAGAATAGAATAGAATAGAATAGAATAGAATAATTGTAGAATAGAATAGAATAGAATAGAATAGAATAGAATAGAATAGAATAGAATAGAATAGAATAATTGTAGAATAGAATAGAATAGAATAGAATAGAATAGAATAGAATAGAATAGAATATGGAATGGAATGGAATGGAATAGAATATGGAATGGAATATAGAATGAAATGGAATATAGAATATAGAATATAGAATAGAATAGAATAGAATAGAATATGGAATGGAATAGAATATGGAATGGAATAGAATAGAATAGAATAGAATAGAATAGAATAGAATAGAATAGAATATGGAATGGAATAGAATAGAATAGAATAGAATAGAATAGAATAGAATAGAATAGAATAGAATAGAATATGGAATGGAATATAGAATGGAATGGAATAAATAGAATGGAATGGAATAAATAGAATGGAATATAGAATATAGAATATAGAATATAGAATATAGAATATAGAATATAGAATATAGAATATAGAATATAGAATATAATCTTTGTCACCTTAAATGTACACTAAGCAGCATACATTAAAATGAAATTCCGTTGCATTCAGCTCTCCAAAAAATACCATCATGCATATACCCGCCCCCACACACTCACACATATATGACACCGTCTAGTTCCAACAGTACTACATTCACTTAACAACTAGGATGCTAACTTAACAACTGCAGTGAGTCACTTAACAAACCGTGGGAAGGAGGGTCATAAAAGGGGGGTGGTAAAACTCACTTAACCAATGTCTCCCTCGGCCACAGAAACCTTGGGCTCAATCGTGGCCGTAAGGCGAGGACTACCCGGACTTGATCCAGGTGAAACTCAGCCCAAGTTTCCTTTTGCTCCAATAAAGTCGTAAAGGAGGAAAGGAAGTTGGGGGGGGGGGGAATCTCTTGATTTATTCCCTAAGTAGCCCCCAGGGGATAGACATCCTTCTTTTCCAGGAAGACCCGAAGTTAATTTGGATCGTTATCTCCTGCACCACCCGGGCAGCTCCTAGTTGGGAATGCGCCACGCCAGCCAAGCGGAGCCTCACTCTCTGGGTTTGTTCTGGTTTGTTTTCCCACGGAGGAGGTTGAGCTGCGCATAGAGGTGGGAGGCCGAAAGGAAAGCGACCCGGCTTGGTGGGACAAGGACGGTAAGAGAGCCCGCGCAGCAGGAGGAGAGCCACAATTTCGCACAGCCGCTAGGACGGCAGCAGCAGATCCGGACAAGCTTTGGGTTCCCGCAGCTCTGGAAGGAGAGAAAAACGCGCAGCTGCGCCGCCTCTCCCGGCTGCTCTCGCTGGGAGCGTCTCTTTGGCTGGGGTGCAAGGGACTTGGCGGGGGTGGGGGCGGGGCGGGAGGGGAGGAAGGCTTGAGCGGTCCTCCTCCTCCTCCTCGTTGCCCCGTTGAGGAATTTTGCTCAGCTGGGAAGAAGCGCCGGGAAAACTCCGCAATAGGTAAGGCAGAGAGGTGTTTTTGGGGGAAGTGTGAATTTAAAAAGTCTCCCTCCCTCCCTCTTTCTCTCTCTTTCTCTCTCTCCCCTCTCCCTCTCTCTCTCCACCTCTCTCTCCCTCTCCCTCTCTCTTTCTCTCTCTCTCTCTCTTTCTCTCTCCCTCTTTTTCTCTTTCTCTTTCTCTCTCTCTCCCTCCCTCTTTCTCTCTCTCCCCTCTCCCCCTCTCTCTCCCCCCTCTCTCCCTCTCCCTCTCCCTCCCTCTTTCTCTCTCTTTCTTTCTCTCTCTCTCCCTTTTTCTCTTTCTCTTTCTCTCTCTCTCCCTCCCTCTTTCTCTCTTTCTCGCTCTCCCCTCTCCCTCTCTCCCCTCTCTCTCCCTCTCCCTCTTTCTCTCTCTCTTTCTTTCTTTCTTTCTCTCTCCCTCCTTTTCTCTTTCTCTTTCTCTCTCTCCCTCCCTCTTTCTCTCTTTTTCGCTCTCCCCTCTCCCTCTCTCTCCCTCCCTTTCTCTCTCTTTCTCTATCCCTCCCTCTCTCTCTCTCTCTCTCTCTCTCTCTCTCTCTTTCTCTCTCTATCCCTCCCTCTTTCTCTCTTTCTCTTTTTCTCTCTCTCTCCCTCTTTCTCTCTCTCCCTCCCTCTTTCTTTCTTTCTCTCTCTCCCTCTCTCTCTCCCCCTGTCCCCTCTCTCTCCCTCCCTCTTTCTCTCTTTCTTTCTCTCTCNCTCTCCCCTCTCCCTCTCTCTCCCTCCCTTTCTCTCTCTTTCTCTCTCCCTCCCTCTCTCTCTCTCTCTCTCTCTCTCTCTCTCTCTTTCTCTCTCTCTCCCTCCCTCTTTCTCTCTTTCTCTTTTTCTCTCTCTCTCCCTCTTTCTCTCTCTCCCTCCCTCTTTCTTTCTTTCTCTCTCTCCCTCTCTCTCTCCCCCTGTCCCCTCTCTCTCCCTCCCTCTTTCTCTCTTTCTTTCTCTCTCCTTCCCTCTTTCTCTCTCTCCCTCCCTCTTTCTCTATTTCTCTCTCTTTCCCCTCTCCCTCTCTCTCCTTCTGTCCCCTCTCCCCTCTCTCCCCCTTTCTCTTTCTTTCTCTCTCTCTCTCCCCTCTCCCTCTCTCCCCCTTCTCTCCCTCCCTCCCTCTTTCTCTCTCTCCCCTCTCCCCTCTCCCCTCTCTCTCCCCCCTTCTCTCCCTCTCTTTCTCTCTCTGTCTCTCTCTATTTTTTGCTTTGACATTGTGTTCATCTCAATCCTTTGCTTCCCAATGCTACTGGGAAGGGTTACGATAGATTGCAAACGCTTGCAATTTTTTTTGGGGGGGGGGTGGAGGTCCCGGCTGTTTAAACAGGGCACATGGCTTGAGGGTTTGTATTTTTTTTAGGGAGGGGGAATGTTGAACTCTGCCAGTAAGGTAAAAAGCGTGTCTGATTTTCATTGCCCCTTTTTTTCCCCTCTCTCTTTCTTTTCTCCCCCCCCCCCCAACTGCAGGGTTTTAGGAAACAGCTGTGTTTCGCTCCGGAGTGGGTTCTGTTCTCGACCGGAACACAAAGTTGCTTTGGGTTGTTTTTTTTATTGTTGGTGGTGGTGGTGGTGTTTGTTTTTTGTGGGACCCAATTGGGTTGGGGGTGAGGAAATGCTTTCTTGTAGATTTCTTTTTTATTATTATTATTTCTGATGCAGAAAGGGGGCTGTGGGCGGGTTGTGGGGGGGCACTGCCCAAGGGAGTTAACCAACTTTGTCTTTCCGAGCCGGAACTCTGTTTAACGTTCAAGCAACTCTTGTGTTTGTAACCCTAGCAACCGCTATCCCTTCTCCTGCTTGGCTCCAGTCGTCTGCCTTGCTGTCACTTGAACTGACCCTCGAAGTTGAAGAAGGACTTTTTTATGTATAATAGCCCTTTCTGAAAAATGGCTGTGTCTTTCCTCACCGGTCATGTCATTTGAAGGGCGACCTCGTTAGCGGAAGGTCGAGACATGGCTAACAACACTTGGGAGAGTGGAGAGCTGGGCACCAACGCCACCAGCCTTGGACCGGACCAAGCCTGCATCCGTGAGAACGCTACCCAGGTCAACTTGACGTCCCAGGAATTCCAGTCTCCAGACTTCTACGTGGTCCTCCCGGTGATCTACTCGGTGATCTGTGCGGTGGGTCTAACCGGGAACACGGCGGTCATCTACGTGATCCTGAAGGCTCCCAAAATGAAGACGGTCACCAACATGTTCATCCTGAACTTAGCCATTGCCGATGACCTCTTCACCCTGGTCTTGCCCATCAACATTGCCGAACACCTGTTGCACTACTGGCCCTTCGGAGCGGTCCTTTGCAAGATCATCCTCTCCGTTGACCATTACAATATCTTCTCCAGCATTTATTTCCTCACCGTCATGAGCATTGACCGGTACCTGGTTGTGCTATCGACCGTCCGGTCCAAAAGGATGCCGCACCGCACTTACCGGGCGGCCCGTATCATCAGCTTCGGCGTTTGGATCCTGGTCACCCTGATTGTGTTTCCTTTCTTCATCTTTGCCAACGTCTACAAGGACGACTTGAACATCACAAGCTGTGGACTCAATTTCCCCAAACCAGAAAGATCCTGGTTCAAAGCCAGCCGGATCTACACGCTCTTCTTGGGCTTTGCCATTCCGGTCTCCACCATCTGTGTCCTTTACACCATGATGCTGTACAATCTGAGGCACATGAGCTTAAACTCCAATGCCAAAGCTTTGGACAAAGCTAAAAAGAAAGTCACCATCATGGTCTTTGTCGTTTTGGCGGTCTGCCTCTTCTGCTGGACGCCCTTCCACCTGGCCACCATTGTGGCTTTGACCACGGACTTGCCCCAGACCCCGGCGGTCATCGGCATCTCCTATTTCATCACCAGCCTGAGCTATGCCAACTCTTGCTTGAATCCTTTCTTGTACGCCTTCCTGGATGACAGCTTTCAGAAAAGTTTCAGGAAGATGCTAGAATGCAGAGC